TAATCAATTAAATGAGCCTTATTTTTTGCTTTTATTTCAAGTTGTAATAAACGTTCATTTGGCCACTTAATCATAAGGGGATATCAAAGGATGTAAAGCTGAATGTTTTTGGATGACTTTTGGCTACCACAGTTGCAGTTACCATCAATCATTAGTTTAGTTGGATCATTATTAGCTTAAATGGAATATAATTACAATTATGACTCTTTGTGATTTTGATGGTTTAAGCTATAATATAAGTTGAACCATTTGATCAAATGAATATGAACTGAGTTTTGTTAAAAAAATATTAAAGTTTTATCTCTTTTATCACAGTGAGAGTGATTCTACAAAGTTCTTGACTGATTAAAGAATCGTTGGCTATATGAAAGAATTTTCTCTTCTTTTGTGTGTTGTCTTCCTTGGAAAGAGTCATTCTTTCCTTTCACCTTTAATATTCACCTCTTGCCTTTTTTTCACTAGAATTCAAAAAACTAATTTTGTCCAACTTTCTTGCTTATTACCATTCCAACCAAGGTAGATACGTAAACAAACGAATCCACCCCTCTGAATCCATGTTATATTTCTCAAGTTCTTTTTCTTTTCACTTTATTTTCTCTCATTCTTTCTTCACTCTCTTTTGCTTCTTTTTTTATTCGTTCTTTTTCTAATTTCTCCTTCAGCTTATGTTGATCCTTAGTGACTTGTTCTGGTGTCATAAATTTCAGTTTAATTTTGTTTCCCTCTTGCCTCAAATAAAGCTAGAATTCATCAATATTGAATGTGTTTAAAACGAAGCCATGATCATCCTAAAAGAAGATGACAAGAGTCTATCAGAGCAATATCACATAATACTTCTTGCACACTGATTCGTAGTGAATCTGATCCATGCTTGATTCAGATAAGAGCTTGTTGGTAAGTAGAGTTTCTCCACCAATCTTTGACTAGCAACATTGTTAGCGCTTCCATAATCATATGCAACTAAACAGGGGTGGCCATCAATTAAACACCTTGTATAGAAAGTTTCCATTGCCATTCAAAACCTAGAGTCGAAGCTCTGCTACCAAATAATGAGAGTCCAAAGGGGTGCATTCGTTTGTTTACAAATCTATCTAGATTGGAATGGTAATAAGTAACAAATTTGAACAAAATTAGTTTTTTTTTTAATTTTGGTGAAGAAAAGGCAAGAGGTGAATATGAAAGATGGAAGGAAAGAATCATTCTTTCCAGGTTTAAACCCTTTCGTTGTCCCTATTTATGTGGGTTTTTCCCAGTTTGATCTCCGACTTATTAGAATCCCCAATGAGTCCTTAAGATTGCTAATTTGAGTCAATTGAGCCCCTACCGTTAAATTTAGTTAACAGGATTAAGCTTTTGTACAGGTGGAAGGTTTATGTGTAATTTTTTGAAACGTGGCATGCTGATGTCAGAGTAATGTACTTGTGAACCTCTCTAATTGTTTTTTCCAATTTTTCATATAGTCACTAGAGTTCATCACGCTCCATCACCTCCTTCGTAGTGCCAGCGATCCTCGTCCCTCCACCACCAACAAAAACGCTCACGCCACCGATTGGGCTGGGTCACTGCCCTGAAGCCATTGACGCAAACAGAAGAAACCCTCGCCATCAGCCGCGCTAGGGTCGTCGTCATCTGCGAATAGCCCTTACCGTGACCAGGTTTGCCGCCGTCAGCCACCTCACCAGAGAACGAAAGAGGCTTGTCCATGACAAAACGAAGAAAGCGACGCGGCTCCATCGTAAGCGACGAACGCAAGCAAGCCGCCAGCCCACCTAAACCGCAAAACAGAGTCGCGGCTTTACGCATCTCGTCGTCATCGAACCAGATCGAGGGAAGAGGAAGAAGGACAAAGACCAAAGACCGCCGCTGAAGGAATAAACCGGAAGCTCCGTCCTTCGCCGGCGACAAACCAGGTCGAAGAAGTCGAACCAGAAACACAGAAAGCCCCAAAATTCAGTTTTCTTGAACCCTAAATCCCTTTTCAGAAATCCATATTTTTTCTCAACTTGAAAAAGAGCCTAGTCATGTTTTCTCGGTGCCAATCACAACTTCGAGCACCAGTGGCTTGTAATCAGCAGATTTGTAGATTTTGGCATTGTGATATAAGCGGGAGTTACTGTGAACAACACTCGTGGTTCTTTGGAGAAGATGAAGGATTGGGCACGAAGAGACCATTTAGATTAGAATTGATTTTTTTTTCAAGTTCAGAAAAAATGTTTTTGGCCTCTCTAAAAACTTTAGTTTTAGTCTTACAATTTTTTTCGGAAATTCATATTATTATAATTTTACAAGTTGTCAAATTCCACGTTTCAACTCTCACCATGCCACGTGTTCAAAAATTGACACATCACTCTCCCATTTGTGCAAAAACTTAACTTCGTTAACTAAATTTAACGGCAGGGGCTTAATTGACTCAAATTAGCACTTTTAAGGACTCAATTGGAAATTTTAATAAGTCGGGGATCAAACTGGAAAAACTCACATAAATAGAGACAACTAAAGTGTTTAAATCTTCTTTCCAAGGGAGACAGCACGCAAAGGATGAGAAAATCTTTTGATATAGCCAAGAATTCGTAAATCACTCAAGAACTTAAGAGAATCACTCTCACTAAGAAAAAATAGATAAAAACTCTAATATTTTTTAATAAAACTCAATTCATATTCATTTGATCAAAATGGTTCAACTTATATAAAAGCTTAAACCATCAAAATTATAAAAAAATCATTAATTGCAATTATATTCCACTTAAGCTAATAATGACTCCAATAAATTAATGGTTCATTGTAAATGCAACTGCGCTAACCAAAAGTCACCCAAAAACATTCAACTTTGCATCTTTTTAGGCTGATGACTAAGTGATCAACTAGACCTTTATTACAACTTGAAATAAAAACAAAAAATAAGGTCCATTTAATTGATTAACCCAAAACATAATTTGATCAACTAATTTTACAAATGATTTGACTATTATTTAAACAAACTAATTATTTAAAATCTACAACAAAGTGACACATCATTGGTCGAATTCACGTCACTTCGACTTTTAATATGATGAAATATATATGATGGGAGGTGTATTGAACCAAACAATTTGATGGAGAATAACACTTCTGAAAAAAATATATAGTTACGATTATGAAGAAAGTAGTAATTAATGAATCAATAAATACTTTTTAGTTAATTTAAATATTCTTTTTATTGCTATACGTGTCTAGTCAAGGGATTTGTTTCTTTAATTATGTCTTAAGTTCTAATCATGAATATATATAATTATGTATATATAGTGAAGTCAACAAAAGAAATGATAAAATAATTAATTGGTTGATTTTTCATCTTATTTAAAGTTGTTTGATTATTTTAGGCTCATCGTGGCTCCTGGGACATTGCAATCAACCCTTGGTGCACCCCAATTTTTCTTCTAGCACCTCCATAAGTGTGATGAAATGACCATTATATTCTTAATGAAAATTTTTGAAATACTTTTCAGACTACATAACACGAAATTTTCCCAGATTTTACCATCTGAAATATATTTTACTAAATAATACATTTTGAATTATAAAATCTATAATGTATTATTTATTCAAATAAACTCAATTATGTTTCTTTTTTATTCACTTTCAAACCTCGAATCTCTAATAGGAGTTGGAGCCAAAGAATTATACATTACACATTGTATAATCATGAATGTTTAAAATTAATATTTTTGAATTCTAAATTATATATTCCAAAATACTTACAATTCTACAATATGAAACTATAGTTTCAGAAGAGTATAATGGGAATTTTAAAAAAATATATGCGGGTGTAGAAAGAAAATTTGGGGATGCAGAAAGAAATTAACTCACCCCTTCCACTTATGTTTGCCCCAGCTCCAGCCCATTTTCATCATATGTCTCCTATATGGCATGATAGAATTAAATATAAATTATATGCTTTTCAGTTTAACTGAGATTACATTACTAAAAATCGTAAAGTGTAATAAAATAAATACTTACAATGATAAAATAATTTATCTTTATATGTAAATTATTAAAATAATCGATACGACCTAATCTTCATAACATACCACTAATATTTCAATCTATAATTTATCATGAGATTTTATCACATGATAGTTAAAATCCTGTTACAAATAGAAATAAGCTATTTAATTGTACTTTTAGAAAGGTCAAAGTTTATTAACATTTTTTCTTATACATCATGAGTATGGATTATGCCCTAATTAAGTAGTAAGTCTAAATATTTATGAATATATGTTTTAATTGTTAACATTACTTACTTTATTAATAAGAAAAACTCAAAGTTAGAAAGAGAAGAAAAAGCACAAATATTGAACTTAGACTCTAAATTAAAATTTGGAGTTTAAATTTTTGTAATAAAAAATATGGTTGGAATGAGATTTTAGTGATTTGTCAAGTGACTAAGTTTTTTATATTAAAAATGTAACTACATTAAGTATTTTAAAGGAAGATACTATTGATCTATTTTGTTCCAATCTAAAAGGATAAATGTAGATTACAAAACTTTTTCTTTAAGTATTTATCATAACTACACATATGTGTTTCAAAATTGAAATCAATAGTTAAGTTAGAACAACTTGATGACTTTATAAAAGTTTATATTAATATAACTTTATGGTATAGTTGAGTCCTTACCAATACAAATAATATTTTCAATATAATTTGAAATAACTTATCTCAAAATAATATTTTCATTCATATTAAAGATACATTGAGTATCCTAGCTATTGGATCTGGACAAGGTAACTAAAATTTTAAAGAGATCATTTTCCAAACATATAAAGCCCAGGCATAAAACTTAGGAGATCTTGGTTTGTATTATTTGCTTATACTTCATTATATTAATGAGTATACATATACAAAGGCTTGCTATATACTTTTTTAATTAAATGCAGCTTATTATCTTTACGTAATTAGAAGGAGGTGAAGCTGAAAAAATGAAGTAAAGAGAAAAGGAGAGAAATGAAAAGATTATAGTTCAACAACAAAAAATATGATTAAACTTCTTTATTCCTTTCCCTACACTTTCAATTTTCAATCCCTCTCCCTCCTTTGCTCTTGTACATTTGCATATGCATCATCTTGGTTCACAAAGCCTTATTGCTACATCATAATTTCCCGTTGTTACCTTATCCTCTCCGATAAATAGAAACAAAATATAGAATGTGAACAAAACTGTCATGAACTGAAAACACTTCCCGAAGCAGAACTAGAAAGGGTCTTTTCTTCATCTCCTAGACACCAATTTATATTTATCTAAATAATCAGCTCTACATTTCATAAAAGATGATGAAGTTGTCACCATGGTTTATAAATAAAATTGCAAAACAAAACCAAAAGAAGGGAACAAATCAAGTTTAGTTACGCTTGCTCTTTGCCATCCCAATGTGGTCTTCCTAATGTGAATTCCAAGCTTGGATTCTTGCACTCCAAATTAGAACCTCCCATGTTGTTCTTCTGTTGTGTTGAATCACACTCCTGTAAGCTCATTTGTTACTACTGTGCTATCATTGTAGAGGGAAACATTCTGAGTTCTGAATATGCAAACAAATGCTATGTCTCTCTGGTTACCTGAATTTGATGAGCTCCTGATATTGTTTGTGACTGGAGAATAGGTGATCTCAGACCATCTATGTCGTTAGAAGTTGTTCTTTGTCGCGATTCTCCACAACTGTTGTCGGTTCAATCAAATTCAGAACGTCACCAAGAACAACATGCATAAAATAAGATTGATGTGCTAGAAAATGGTGGAAATAAATATATGGGAAGATTATATATATATACATCAAGAGCATAGGCATTAATTATATTCTTTACACATATCTTTGACCTTGATATTTTACCAGTTTTACATCTTCATTTCCCCCCCTCCCCCCCAGCAATCAATGCTATGTAACTGTGTACACACCGTTTAATCCAAAGAGCTTAAGCTTTTTCTACTGTTTTTTTTCCACTTGTAATCTGCAATGCTCATAACTAACTAGTAGATGTGAGCATTCCAAATCAAAACGATATTCAAATGGAGCAAATTTTGTTTTAATGATTGCATATTTCCACTATAGCATTTACAACTTACATTGGAACAAAAATCACTTCAACTAATTAGATGTTTACTTTTAACAAAGAGCCAACTACAATAGGCATTTTCAGTTTATAGTGTTATGTTTGAATAGATGAACTTATCCTTCTTTGAGATATAACAAGGCCAGGAGAAGCTGCATAGTTTTGTTAGTTCTATTTTATATCTGCTGCTGATTTTCTACATATATAAAGTTTTTTATATGTGGTAGTACTAAGACGATTTAGATTTTCTAAATAAAAATTGTTCATGACTTGGCATTACTCAGTCACTGTAGTTTCCACGATATTTCAATAATAGAGGCTACCCTTTCAGGTTTTCCAGCTTTTGAAAAGTACATGCTCTGTGTGAAAGCTAGGTTAGGTTGCACAGTGAGATGGCATTTTGAGTACTAATTTATTTTACCTTAAAAGGAATTCTGGCTTTTTTTGTTGACTCAAATACGTAATGAATCTATGTGAAAATAGGCACTGTTAGGCCAAAGTCAGGACAAATTTAGAGATATCTAGGCACTAATAAGCTACAGCTCTTGAACTGTGAAGATGGGTTTTGTTACTTATTTTGAGCAGTTTTGTTAAAACAGGCACAGCACAAAGGTACATGTCATATGTTTCACTTGCTATTCATGTTAAATAGTGTTACTTGAAAAAGTCAAAATTCACATCACATATTTATACTCCAACTATAAAATATCTGAGGTGAAGGAATTTTTGGATCTTATTTTTTTCAAAGCTTCGTTATCATGCAAGAGAGTCTACTTATCACCTTGAGGTGTAATGTGTATATGTATGTATCTTGAGCATTCACTTTTACTTCTTTAAGAAGAATATAATTTATATTTTAAGAATAAAAACAAAGAGTCTCTTGCTTAATACATTATGTATATATAAGAGGTTTCAACTGTCAACAGCCTCTGTTAGGAATCTCTAAGCTAAGTACCATGGTAGAAAAATAAAACAATGTACACCATTTTAAGCTAAAACAACAGAAATATATAGAATATGCTCATTCCCGCCAAGGACAATACATAATGTGGTTTCAGTATACACATTGTTAATAAGAATATTTGAAGTTAAAGATACTCATACTCGATAAGAAGAAATTTCTTATTTGGGTTAATAAGACTCCATATATACATATATAACACTAAATAGGTATGCTAAAAGAAGCAGCATTAATGGTGGGTAGCAGAAGGAGTTGTTAATAAGATCATATTAACAATTCTTCCAAAGGAGAAAAGAAAAAGGGCATGCAGCTATAGGTGCTGTGTTTTTCTTTTATCCTAATTAGCGTTTCATTATGTCTTGAAAGCTTTCCTTTATTATATACCCATCATGTCTTCAATATACATCTCTGGTGAAAAAATTCGCTGAGGTACAAAAGATATATAAAAGAAAGAAAAACAACCAAACACAAGCAAAGCAAAAGCTGACACAAGAACCCTTTTTATTCTTCATAAATAAAGAATCCGGTGGACGTGGGTTTGCAATGCATTGATATCCATCAGATACCATGCAAAGGCAAAAGCAAATAAAAGCACAATCATAAACATGTACGTTAAAACAGCCTGCACACTACGCAGAGATATTAAATATATATGTAAAACATATATAATGTATGGTCTCAAAAACTGTAAAAGAGAAAATTGTTAAGTGTTGTACCTTGAAGAATTACTCCAAAGAGTGGTGGTGGAAGAGTAGTCCATGTCTTGTTGCGCCACCCAATCCGGCCGCCCTCTGTGGCTGGGAAATTGCCGGAGACTGCCCCGATCGGCGGTGCTGCCAATAGGAGATAAGTCATCCTCTCCAGACCCATCTGAATGGCCTGCAAAGTCAAAAGCTTTTAACGTTTCATATATATAGCATACACATGTTTATGATATATGCGCATGCATGCATCTCAGTACTTTGTATAATTTATTTTGTACTAGTGTGGAGTCTTGTTCAACATCTGATATCTCTGTGGAGAGGCCTTTTTTTATTAAAGGGTGTGTGGTTTGTGTAAAAGTACGAGAGGAGGAACAAGAAAGGAATAGTTTGCGGTAAAATTAAAGGTAATAGTAAAAAAATGTAGGGTCTAAAAAGAACAAGGTGTGACAATATTATTTCCCTATTATGTTATGACAAAAAAATTAGTTGGTGCATGCTTAAGAAAAAGATAAGGCTGCTAAAAAAAGAAAAAATGGGTTGAAGATTAAGCAATACGAATTACCTGAAGATGCTGCAGGTTTGTCAGTGGTCTTAACAGTTCGATACATCTGGGAAGAAGTCATAAACAAAAACAAGGCATTATATAAAAGGCTTTTCCATGGTTGGAAGAAAATCCATTAATTAGTGTGCGTGACTGCGCAAGATGTGTATATATGTATATAAAAATCCAAATTTTTTATTGCAAAATTCATTAAAGAATAGAAAATCATTTCCCATTTAGATCCTTTTTTTCACTCTCTCTCTCTCTCTCTTTCTATGTTGGCTTCTGGGATTGTCTGGGTGGGTTACCTCATTAATCACGAGGTTGATGTTTGATGAGGTTGTAATGAGAGGGTGTATTATTGGAAAATGATGATCTTTGTCTGTTCTCTCTCTTTCAAAGCAGAAACTGTTTTCTGTCTGGTCTTCTCAGACGTTAAAGGCTCACTACTCAGCTGACTACAGACTTTAAATTCATTCATCCACTCCCACATTCACTGCTTTCTTCATCGGTTACCGTGCCAGTAGGATAGACAACAAACACCGCCCCACATGAACATAGAGAGAGAACAGAAAGAGAAATTCAAAACTATACCTGCAAATGGCTTTTCACATGAGCTAATGTTAGATCCTTCACATCCATGAGCTCAAGAACTGATTTTGGAGTAGCTCCTGATTCCACCATATCCAAACGCATTAGATAAATAAAGACCTATAATTTAATACACAGAAACTAGTACACACCATTAACTCATTTATAAAAATAAAGAACCAGACAAAGTAGAAAATCAAAATATAGTCAACTTTAGAAAATGAGAGGACAAACAACAAAAAAATCTTTCTTTTCGATGAAATCAGCTACTTGAATAATCACATGATACTATTAAAGATAGAGGGGTCAAGAGAAATTAAGAAAAATTAAAAGGGAAGAAAATTAATGAAACGTTGTTTACTTTCATGGCCTCCGAGAAGCTCCACCGCATGGACAAATCGAGCATGGAGGGTGCTTGTCCACCTCATTCTGGGTGCTCTCATGCTCCTCTTGTTGGGAAGCTTAGACAAAAACCTTGATCTCATGAACCCCGAAGAGGCTTCTGAAGAGCCTACCCCATATTGGTGCAATGGATGAGATTTGAAAGCATCGCCGGAAAACCCATTAAACCTTGTGGCAGTGGCTGTCCTACACCCCACGGTGGAAGCGTTGTTCAAGAAGGACATGGGATCCACGAAGTAAGGCGAAGGCGAAGAAGAAGGAGCGGCTGTGGAGCACAGAGAGGAACACGAGGAAGAGAGAGATGGGTAAGAAGGCATGTGATGATACAAGCACATCTTGGTATGAGGATCCTTGTTGTCTCTAGCATGGTCCATGGCCACAAAAGGGAACGAACGGTTGTGATACACCGGAATCCCCTTGATTGGCCTCAAGCCGTCTGATGATGATACATCAAGCAATGAAACTCCATAGTTTATGTGATTCAAGGGAGTGTTGGCACTTGTAGGAACACTTGTTGGAATATTACTAGTAGTAGTAGTGCTGCTGCTGCTGCTGTGGAGAAGATGATGGAAATGGGTTTGGGTTTGGGTTTGGGTTGGATAATAAGGGTTGTGTGGTGTTGGAGTTGGTGTTGGTGGTGGTGTTTCCCTTGCCGAAGTGAAATTTCTTCCAAGAGAGAGTTCTGTGTGGGCTTGAGACACAGTCCTTGAAAGGAAACTAGGTTGGGGTTCATAATTGATGATGTTGTTGGTATTGGAAATTAAGGAAGAGGAGATGCTTGGGGGGCTTATGTGAAGAGAAAGATCAGGAGCAGTGGTTGAAGTAGGCTCAATGAAAATCCCCTCCAAGGTCATCTTCTTTATTTGGATGGCTTGATGCTCACAAAATATATATGTATGTATATATCAAACACCTTTCCTTTTCCTTTATTAAAATGGCATCAGATTTTGACACTCCTCGGCAATTAAAAGTGCAATATTCACAAGGTGAGGAGGAGGATATATAAGGTAGCTAGACCCTGCAACAGTGTGTGTGATATAATCCCTTTTTCACTTTTGTATTTTCAGTCTTTCCCAAGAAAAGAATCTGGAAAGCTTACCAGGAAGAAGTTGTGAAAAAAGAGAAAAAAAAAAGCTAAGATGAAGAAAAGGAGGTAGCGAGCTAGAAGAAGTGAGTGTTGGAAATTTTTGAGAAACAAAAAACAGACATGCCGAAGAGGTTGTTGTGAATGTGGTGAGAGTAAGAGAGAGAGAGAGAGAGAGATTGTTGTTGTTAAGCTATAGCAGTGAGTGAGGTAGAAGGAATGGAATTTTAAAAGGGAATTGAATTAATAAAAGGAGAAAGAAAATGGAGAGAGGGATGGGAAGGAAAAGAGGTGGATTTGGGTTTTGTTTTCCTCGAGAGTATATATCGGAAAATGACAGTAGAAGAAGATGAAGGAAGAAGATAGAGCACAAGATGTTTCTGTTTTTCTCTTTCTCTCTCTCTTTAGTCAAAACCTACAAAAATTGTACCAAAAAATAAGATGACTTTAGATTTGGCTTCCGCGGAGTGGACGGGATAAAAACTCTTAGTCACTGTGATTCCTTTTCCCCCACTCCCTTCGCTACCATCATCACCATCATCATCATCATCTCTTTCTTCATCACAATATTAAATATAATATTCTTATTATTATTATTCTTTTAAGTAAATTAACCACTGCTGTCTCATTTTCTTCCTTAAATAGGAATGCTTAGCTATAGGACAATACTCTTCTTTCCTACAAAATTATTTCGTTTTTGGATTCAGATTTTGTAATCTTCTCTGCACCAACATAAAAAACAACCACACACACACAAAAACAGCTGATTGACTTATCAAACAGTGACAAAAAACCCACCCTCTTTTTTCTTCCTTTCTTCATTACCCTTTATTCCTGTTTTTGAAAACCATACAAAGACTTTCACTCTCAATTTAATTCCCATACAAACTTTCTCTCTCTCTTTCTTCTGTTTCTCTCAATATTTTATTCATTTTTAATGGTGTGCATTTCAAGATTTTCTTCATTCATTAGTTGGGAAATTATTAGAAATAATGGTCACTTTTAATTTTCATTTTTTCTAACCAGGTCACATGGTAATCAATCAAATTAAATTAGCATTCATTACATTTAGCTAATCAAGTTATCGTCTTACAAATTTCAATATTTCGGCCATTTTAAAACTTTTACTGCTCATCCTATACCTTTCACTTTTACTTAACACCTACATTCTCATCCATAAACAACCTATTTATAATCATTCTAAACGATAATAATTCTTATTCCAAATACATTCATTCTCTTACAAATAAAGAGTTTCGTTACGTATTTATATTTTCTTAATAATTCTCTGGTCATTAAATAAATAAAAGTACACATATTTAATGTTTTAAAACATAAAGGTTTTGTTAACTGTTTTGAATAATTATAATTATTGAGCAAAATGGAAATACATTTGTTTTGTTTAGAAAGTGAGAAACATTTAGAGAATTAAAAAATGAAAATTGAATGAGGATTTGACACTATATTGGAATGATTGAAAATCCTTTAGCATTGACCAGTGGGTTAGGGTTTCCAAAACCCTAGGCTAAATCGAAGAAAATGGTAATTTTATGATAAAAAAGAAAAGGAATCCATAAGTATGATATTGGGAAGTAACCCCTATCTTTAAATGCTGACACCGTAGATGACAAACAATGCTCTAAGCTTGGTCTTGGAGTCTCAGCTTTTTTAATCAAGCAGTTAATTAATGAAGGTTTATAGTTAGTGTATTGTCCCACTGCCACCAACTCCAATGTTACCAAAGGAAAACACTAATTCAGAGGCACTGTTTGCGGGATCCATTTAATGCTCAAATTGGGTACAGTGAACTTCATTAATTTCTTCAGCTTTCACATACACTATTTTTAATTATTTAACTAGACTAAATTCATTTTTTATTTTATTAATATAAGTGCTCGTGCAATAATGTATTATTTTTTATTTAAAACACTGTTTTTGCTTCCCTGTCCAAAAACTCACCATCATAATTCATGACCTTGTTCTCTTCTCAGACAACCCTCCAACCATTCTCCTACAATTTCTGTCATCTTCTTTTGACGCGTTATGGTGATATAATGGTCTTTACCCAACATGCACAGAGAAGTAGTTAAATATTTCATTCGTATTGTTCATCCAATAATACCAAATATTAAATAAATAAAACTCCTTCTACACACCATGATCATTACAAACACACCTTCAATCATTTCTCTATCTTCTCCGTGCATGCCCAGGATTTTTCAGCAACATTCTCTAGTAATGATTTTCTTTTTCTTTTTTTTCTAAACAAATTTACTTCGATTTAATTATGTTTCCGCTTCTCATAACTAAAATAAATGGTTATTTAGTTTAGAGAAAGAGTTTTCCAGGACTGCTTGTAAGTGCATTGCTCATTTCATTTTTTAAATATTTTTATTATTTAAGCTCTTTGTGCAAAAGTAAAATTTAAAATATATATATACAAATCAAGAGTCTTAAAAAATAATTTTTAAATAAGTAATTTACTATTTTAGATTGTATATGGGTTTAACTATGCAGGGCCATATCTACCTACATTCATTTAGTACATATTATTATTTTTCTTTTTTCTTTTTCATGTATTATATGAAAGACCTTCTCGTTTATACTAGAGATATGGCTGTAAAGAAATATAAAAAAATCTTTCAAAGAATATATATACACAAATAATATATATTATAATATATATATATCTATTATATATATATATATATATATATATATATATATAATTATTTAAATTTAAAAACTCTCTACTTGTTTGATTGTATAAGAAATATGATTTTAAAAAATTAAAGAGAAAAAGTTTTGAAAAAAGGTGTATATTATAGGTTTTAATGATTCATTTTCATTTCAACTAAATTTCATTCTCTAAGTTTTAAATATTCCAAATTTTCTCTCTAAATTCTTAACTAACTAGTCAGCTGATTCACCGTGACAATTGTGGATAGGTTCATTATAACATTGATCAAGGTAAGTTGTCGTTCTTCCCATAACTAATTCTATTTATTTTTCCTTGTTCTTTTGGAAAGAGTTATACTTTGGTTGTTTATTCAAGTATGAAAGGGGATCTAATGGTAATATAAACAAAGGAAAGGATGATGGTATAAAGTTTTGAAAGTTCTTTTAGCCTATTCAAAAGGTTTGGTTGCTAGAGACATTTTTATTTCATTACAATTTAGGTATAAAAAATAATTAAGTACACTGTTGATTAAGTTTTTGATTATATATGTATGTTCTGGATTGATGTTGAGACTACTTTGAATTGGAATTGTGTGGAATTATGGTTTGAACTATTTAGACTGATTTATGATATATTGTAATTTGGAATAGTGAAATTTGGTTTCAATTGATCCATAATTAATGGTGATGCATATACGATATTATAGGATTATTTTGTTTTTAATATATTATAGGATATTCGTGATATTTTGTTTAACATATATAAGTAGTTTTTTGCAAATTTTACTTGAGTATTATCAAATGTTCAAGTAACACTCAAGCGATCGATGAATAACTATTGTTTACATTAAGTATTATTGTTTAAATATTGTTATGATGAGTTAATTGATAAGGTTTATTGTTCAAATTATGGCTTAAAGTTTAGGTGAGAGAGATGTCGAAATAACTTTTTCTCTAAAAAAACGCTTATTGCTTGAAACTATAGAAAATCAAAGTTCTAAGACCAAGTCGGTCAAATACTAAGCATTTGATCTAATACATTATTTATATAAAGAGGTGTACTCTAACTATTAGTTATAGTTTTTGACATAATAGCACATGTTTGATCAAATAAATGTATCTGAGCTAAGGTCACTGTGTTTAATTCTTAATTGAGTTATTTTGTTAAGGAAAATATTGTTGCAAGGTATTTATTTGCTTTGGAGGTTTGGTGAGTTAAATCATAGTAGAATTATAGTATTTGTTTACCGTCGTAGAATTATTGAGTGAGTGTTTTTTTTTTTAAAAGAAAAAATGGTTATTCAAGTGAAGTAGAGTTTGTGCAATGCATCACCTTAACATAGGGTAACGTAGGACTTAATATTAATTTTGATGCGTTAAGTATTAATATCTAGTAAAACTTATTTAACATGAATTTTTTTAAAAAATAAATGTTACAAATTATCATAATATCACAAGAGATAAAGTTGAATATTCATACTGTCTTCAGTGATTAATCTTGTTAAATTTATTGCTAATATATTAATGAAATTGAGAAATTTTGTGATTATTAGTTTTTACCTAATGAGAAAGACTATAAAAAAACATTAAAAAGCAACCAATTCTAGAAAGTTAGATATCATTTTATTATAAACTAAAAATTATTGATATCTAAAATTGTCTCTATTATAAAGAAAAATTGATAATTAGTTTGAAAATTAAAATCTAAATTAATATTTAATATTAATTACCAAAGTTTTAACTATTTATCATTATTAATTTTATATTAATTTTTAATTAAAAATTAGAATTTAATTTAGACACAAATTGATACTGTCAGAACCAGTAAAATCCACGCACGTATCGTTTTAGTGGAGTTCACGTGTCAAGAGGGGGGCTCGACACTCAGATGACGAACGCCAGGTGTCAAGCGAAGAAGATCCGGAAATCAGATAGTGAATACAGGTGTCGGCCAGATGAACGGACACTCGTTTTGACGGGGGAAAAAGCAAAACTTGGATTTTCAGAAAATCTACTCCACTCTCTGCATGCACCCTCTTTCCAAATTTCTGAAGAATCTCATTCTCTCCTCCTTATCTTACATCCTCTCATCTTCTCTCTAAGAACCACACTCACTTTCACTTTTTCGATCTCCGTTCAGCCACCGTAGAGAGTTTGTACTTCCGCGTCAAGAGCTTCCTAGGATAAACCTTTCGGTTTGTGAAGCTAAGCTGGTAAGTTCTTTCTTTCACCAAGTCGTTCGTTTCCTAAACATGTAAACCCAGTTCTGGGTTCCTGTGTTGATCACCATTCTCAAAAAGTGAGTGGTTCTGATAGTGTTGGGTTGGTCACTTTGTGTAGTTGGAATTGTCGAGCGTTGACGGTAGGGAAACCGGTAGTGGTAAAATTGTATTCTGCCTCTGGAAACGTTCGTTCACGCTCAGAGGTAAAGGAAGCTTATTTAATTTAATTTTTATGTTTACGGTGCTGCATGAACGTTCATTCGAGTTGCTAAATTAAAGTGAAGTATGATTATTGTGATATTTGACTATATGATATATGATGGTTGCTATGTTCTGATGTATGAATTATATGAAACTTATATGATATGGATCTCATGAAGTATTGGAAAGTTGATTATGATATGAATGTATAAGGTTATGAAACTATATGTTCAGAAATGGTTTGAAAACAAATGATTTTGTATGAATTTCTCATATGAAAGGTACGTTCGTGTACTGAACGGTCATTGACCGTTCGGTTTTTCTGGTAAACATAGTTGATATGAGATTTTTTTCT